CCGCGCCCCCACACACACACACACCCACAACTTCTCAGTTAAAAAAAAAAATGTAATCGTTGGGAAAAAATTGCAATTGTTGGAAACCCCCAGCAAAACTCTCAGAATATCTAGGAATATAAAATGTGAAATATCTTTGTGCAGCAAAAGTATGAAATCAAAAAATTATTATAAATATAAGAATACATATCATTTCCCTCACTGCAACATTTTAATCACACTTCACCAAAATATTGATCATCCTTAACTAGATGAAGGTCTCTAATTTATGCAAAAAGTACTTTGGTTAGAACTATTGTGTGTATGGTTCCCGTGATTTGTCATTTATTAAACAAATATTTACAGTGGTGTGGCCACCTCTTTCCAGGCCCGGGGAAAGAGCAATCATCCCTGTCAGTGCCACTTCATTTCCTGCCAAAATGACTCTACTTTTTAAAGGTAACCTTGGTACATTAACATAATGGCCTTAGGAGAAATATAGGTGAAACAAGGTAGCAATGTTTCTTGTGGAATAAAAGCACCACAAAACAAACAGACCATTATTTTTTGTGGGTCAAAGAGTTAATGACTATTTTCCAACGGTGTAAAGGATCAGCATAATTTTAAATATCTTCCTAAAAAGTAGAAGAGGGGGAGTTTTGCTTTCATAAAAGTATCTATCACATGCAGTTCTAGTGACAAAAAGTAATTGTAAATGGTTACAATAAACCAGTAAATTTAAACTGGAAAGTAAAATACCTTTCTGAGTTCAGAGAGCCTTTCTAACAAATTAGAAAATCTGAGGATGGGGCTGTGGATATCCCCCACCCCACCCCAAAAAAGTGCAAGTAACCTGGGGGCTGTGTGCTTGTGACTGGGCATCTGGTGGCACCGAGCCCTTAAACCTATGGCGACTGACACTGCGTGGAGGTAGGTCAGACCTGACTTCAATTGTAGGACACCCAGCTGGTGTCGGGGAAGCAGAGAACTGGGTGGTATCAGGAGGACAAGACCTCTCAGATATTCTTCAGGTTTTACAAAATATTTTATAAAAATTTGGTCTCCCAATAAATGAGACTCTGAACCACCCTGAAGTGCTTTATGAATCATACCAGGATGGAATGGTGCTGTATGCACTTCAACCAATAATTATTTACATTCCAGGTATAGTTTTTAACGATATTTTTGTGTATTCTAATCTTGTCCCATTCCCAAACAGCCGCAGAAAAGCCTCCTGTATTAGTTTCCTATGGTTGCTGTAACAGATCACCACAAACTGGGTGGTCCCTGGTTATGCTCTCGAAGTTCGGGAGGCCAGAAGGACAAAATCAGGGTCTTAGGTCCACACTCCCTCGCGGGGCCATCGGGAAGATGCCATCCCTGCCTCTCGGCATCTGTGGCAGTGGGCATTCCTCGACACTGACGTTCTTCAGCTTAGGCCAGTGGTCGGCAAACTGCGGCTCAAGAGCCACATGCGGCTCTTTGGCCCCTTGAGTGTGGCTCTTCCACAAAATACCGACTTCTACACATGGGCCACGAAGTTTCAATCGCACTATACATGCGCGCCCACACGTGGTATTTTGTGGAGGAGCCACACTCAAGGGGCCAAAGAGCTGCATGTGGCTCGAGAGCCACAATTTGCCAACCACTGGCTTAGGCCACTTTTTACTCTGCTCATACTCATACCACCTTCTCCTCTCTCTGTCTTCTCCTCTTCAGTTTCTCATAAGAACATGTATCACTGAATATAGAGCCTACCCAGATAACCTAAGATGACCTTCTCATCTCAAAATCTTTAACTTAATTACATCTCAAAGGTCCTTTTTCCAAATAAGAGAGCATTCACACTGAAGGATTAGGACATGGACATCACTTTTTAAGTTATCATTCAACCTGCTACCCCTTCTTATCCCTGTCCGCCCCACTCCTCCCAAAACAGAAATTCTCTTTTGAACAGACATATGTAGCAAAGTTAATATTTGAGGGAGAATTAAATTTTATATAACTTAGCAAACAGAGACAAAATTTTATTCCTAATGGAGGATAAAGCAAGCCAGCTGCAAGATACCACATCAGTTCAGTAATTTTAATCTTGGTTCCTATAGACCCATGTCCCTTTTCAACCTAATCCAGTCTTACAAGTTAAGAAGAGTGGGCCATACTTCCCAGTATGTTTTTATTATTTTTCAGATTCATATACTTATTGTTATAAGTTCCTCACACATGCCTCGTCCTAATACAAAGAAAATACTTACCTTTGTAAAAGAAAGACCACATACATTTTCACTTTTGAAAAGGTAGCCTAATTAATGCCTGTCTTTCATCACTACTCTATATGCACTTTATAAAGCTGATGTAATATCCTGGAAATATTCACACAAGTAAATGAACTGTTAAATTATGTTTCATTAAATCATATTTCTTCTTTCATACTAAGTGGTGATCATTTAAACACACACACCAAAAACTAAAATTATATACATAAAGAATTTCTAAAAAGTACTAAAGATTTATGTCTTCTTTCACCATAAATTATCAGAAACATAAAATGATGACGGTTCTTATGGGAAATAATAAAAATGTGCAGGAATGTTTTCATCTTTATTTGCTTTATAAAAGAGCCCCTCTGAGAACTGCAGAACATGACTGCAGAAAAATAAACAAAATCCTCTTTAATTCTGACAGCTTGCTAGGGCTCCTCTGACCCACAATAGTTCTAAAACTATGTCATAGTCTCAGTTTGGCCCAAAGAAGTAGAACAACAGCTCTTCAGTTCATCCAAAGCAATGTTTATTTTTTCAAGAAGCCAACAAAAGACACAGATTCATTTCTTCAATGGAGAAAACACATTCAGGTCAATGTGTCCTGGAAATACAAAATTATGTTAATGAATGTAGAAGCACTTTCAGAAAATCTCTTGCTTACAAGTTTTCCTGAGTAGTCACACCTTAGGTAGGTAAAAATTAATAAAGAAAGGTGGCCATGTATGCCCTAACCTGTTTGGCTCAGTGGATAGAGCGTCGGCTGTGGACTGAAGGGTCCCGGGTTCGATTCCGGTCAAGGGCATGTACCTTGGTTGCAGGCACATCCCCAGTGGGGGGTGTGCAGGAAGCAGCTGATCGATGTTTCTCTCTCATCGATGTTCCTAACTCTCTATCCCTCTCCCTTCCTCTCTGTAAAAAATCAATAAAATATATTTTTTAAAAAAAGAAAGGTGGCCATGTAAGTACAGACCTAAGGTAACGCATTAACATTTAGCTGCTATAATTTAAGCCATGTCTATACTGAGCTAGAAGCGGCTCATGGCAGAACTGAGTAATTCACTTAGGTCACCTTTATGAACCATTCACGTGGTTTCAAGGTCAATTCTGGGGATTGGAACAAGGGAACTTCCTGATTCCCACGGACTAGTAGTGATGCCTGGGTGAGGTATTTCCACCCTCTTGTCGTTCACCATCACTTGAAAGGAGGTACATCCAAGAGAATATTGATCACCTACCTCTTCCTACCTCCCCTTTAGAGGTAGTAAGTAGCAACTCCTTCCAGTTCCCAGGCTTTAACAGTTTGGGTTCATTTTTACTTCCCCTTCCTCCTTCCTCCCTGACAGGAAGTCCACCTTCAGCCCGGCTGTCTGTCCTCCAGGGGTCTCTGGCATCAACACCTCTACCACCCCAGACCCTCCTCGCTGCACGGATCCCAGAGAACAGCTTTAATTTATGTCACCCTATATGCTCACTCTCTCCTTCTACACCAGCTGTGAATGTCTCTCCCGATATTAACAGATAGCATTTGAGTACTTAACAATATACAAAGCGCTTTACATACATTAACTCAGTTCATCTTGACTCAGTTCCATAGTTACTCCCCCATTTTACAGTTGAGGAAACTAAGGTACCAACGGTTTAAGCAAGTTGCCCAAGGGCATGCAGCTGATCAATGACGAAAGCAGCATCTGCTATGATAAAATGAAAAAAGCCTCTGTCCTCCTCATCCCATCCTGACCATTGTTACCTCCTTCCAAACTCCCTGTAATCAATATGCACTACTAAAGCCAGGCAGGCCAGACTTCTCACCGCCCTGAAATGCACCAGGCCCATCTCCGTCCCCCTGATTTCATACAGCACTAAAAATGCCCTTGTTTCTGTTTCTGCTATTCCAATTCTTACCTATTCTTCAAAGTCACGTAAGTCCAACTTCTTCCAAGGAAGCCTCCCAAACGTTTTATTTTGTTCTCTCAACTGCTATATCCGTCACAGTGTCCCCACACATTTTAGGACTTAATTTTGCATCATCTTCCCCCGCCCCCTCCCCAATACACATTCAATAACAACAAAGTTTTGAGGGTTAAAAAATTCCTTTGAGCGTTTGTTTGTTGGTCTGGAGCAGGGGTGGGGACCATCCGGCCAGAGGGCCGTATAAGGTTCCCAAAATCATTTGGTCTGGCCCTGCCAAGGCATTAGGGGTGAGTCAGTTAAATGTTTGACCAAAATATAGCAGGTTAATTATTAAGTAGATCATTTTCTATGGCCCAAGAATGATGCTATAAATATCCAAATAGCCCTTGGCAGAAAAAAGGTTCCCCACCCCTGGTCTAAAGGCTGAGGGAACAGCTATGCACAGGAGGCAGGAGGCTCTCCCAAGGCCAACATCTGAACGTAAGAGACAACAAATAGCAGCTCTCCAGCGGAGACGGTTTCGGAGAGAAAACAAGCGAGTTCAGCAGGTTTAAGAAAAGAAAGGAGGATGGTGGGGCTGGGGCCTAAGTGAGCTGAGCAGCACAAGATAAGAGGACTTCTTGATGATATCAACAAAACTGTATAGTATTTCCACCACTGTTCAGCCTGGACTCATGCTAACTAAGCACAGTGACAGCATTTCAATACTACCAAAGCATTTCTAGATATCAATTAAGGCTGGACTGTATAGCTCAGGGGTCCTCAAACTTTTTAAACAGGGGGCAAGTTCACTGTCCCTCAGACCGTTGGAGGGCCGGACTATAGTTTTAAAAAAAAACTATGAACAAATTCCTATGCACACTGCACATATCTTATTTTGAAGTAAAAAAACAAAACGGGAACAAATACAATATTAGTATTTGCATGTGGCCCACGGGCCATAGTTTGAGGACCCCTGGTATAGCTACACCAAAGGAGAATGAAATTATCTAATTGGGGACGAAGATAACTAATCTAAATAATTGGACCCAAGAGAATTATATTAACTCCCTGGGTACATTGATAAAATGGAATAAATAATCATTAAATGCCTCCTCCTCCTCCTCAGACTCTTGTTATATAACTAGGGGGAGAACCATGGTAGAAACATTCTGATAATCAACTGCCCACAAAGTTATGGTTAGGTAGTTGCCAGTCACATACCTCTGGTAGAAAAACTGCAACTAGCCCTAGCCGGTTTGTCTCAGTGGATAGAGGGTCGGCCTGCAGACTGAAAGGTCCCAGGTTCGATTCCAGTCAAGGGCACATGCCCAGGTTGCAGACTCAATCCCCAGTAGGGGGTGTGCAGGAGGCAGCCGATCAATGATTCTCTCATCATTGATGTTTCTATCTCTCTCTCCCTCTCCCTTCCTCTCTGAAATCAATAAAAATATATTTATTTTAAAAAGAAAGAAAAACTAATCAATTCAATCAACTACCAAGAGCAGAATACTTCTGAAATAACTGTTACTGTCAACAATTTCTACAGCCTTAGTCTGCATGGAAATGGACTATTGTAGATACTTGGAACCATCCAAACTTTTAAGGGACTTCCTGGTTTACACTACAGACTCGCTTAACAATCTATATGTATAATTATATAAGAGGGAATGACTGACCTGTTATAAATCATTAGCTCAAATGCAGGCTTGCTCATTTCTCTGCCTGGTTAGAGAATATGTTCAAAGAAAAACAAAGGTATAGAGAATCTGATGGCTGAGGCAGAGAGGTGGGGGTGGGGGTCAGAGAAACACAGAGAGAGCAAAAGTCCTCTGCCTTATAGTAAATGTTACCCTTTAAAAATGGACTATTTATTCCAGATGTTTCTCTATAGGTTAGAGTCTAGACCAGGGGTGGGCAAACTTTTTGACTCGAGGGCCACAATGGGTTCTTAAACTGGACCGGAGGGCCGGAACAAAAGCATGGATGGAGTGTTTGTGTGAACTAATATAAATTCAAAGTAAACATCATTAAAAAAAAGGGTCCGGTTTTTTTTTTTTTTAGTTTTTTCAAACGGGCCGGATCAGGCCCGCGGGCCATAGTTTGCCCACGGCTGGTCTAGACTATAGACAATGCAGGAAAATGTACGGAATCTTCGCTGAGTGGAAAATACAAATCCTCCCACTATAGCTCTCAGGAGGGAAAAATCAAGTTCCTCCACTGAGAGGAATAAAAATGTACTAAAACTAAATGGCTCCCATGTTCCCATCTAGACTGATAGCTGAACTCCTCTGGGATGGAACTATATTATTCAACATCTCCTGGCCACGTGGAGGTTCAATGTGTATTCTATTGGCTTTGCAACTGTTCTCTAATGGTTAATCTTCCTACCTAGTCTATTAACTTCTCAAGAGCAAGAAAGTTTGACTTCATTTTACAACCATCATTGTTGGCTGCCCTGCCCCTGCCCTAAATTCCTAGCAGAGTGCAGTGCTCGGCACATTGAAGGGTGGGTTTATGTTTGCGCTTGCGGTTAGAAATCTCCTGTGAAGGAAATCTAACCGGAATGATCTAGGGCCTGACTGACCTAAGGGCTGATTTCTTCTGGCCGTTGGCCATTTTACTGCCTATCCGTTTCTCCACATAGTGGACATACAGAATCAAATTTACTCAAGTACACTACTAAATACCAATGTGTCCTATTAACCAATTCCACCAGACAAAAGCCAAGAAAGGCAGTTGTCCAGATAGCTCGGGGAAAGGAGAAACAATGACCTGCTTTCCCTGGATCACTTGGGGAGAAAAACAGGGCTTATAATGGAGATTTCCAGTTCGGGAGCATTATTAGAGGGTACTAATGCTTCCTCTGAAAGTGGATTTGCCATGTTCTTACAGAAAAATATTCAGAGAAAGCCATTTCACCTTCAACATGGTAATATTCCACTACTCTATAATAATTACAGTACAGAGTGCTTTCAATCAAGAACTCAAAAAAAGGTGAAATGAAATGGCCGTAGTAACACAACCAGCAAGTCAAGCTTAACCCGCGCTCTCCAGGCTCAAGTTCAGCATCCTTCCCACCATCTCTCTCTGTACTTTTGTTGTGGTTGTTGCTTACGTAAGGCTATTGAATTGTATGATCCTGGGACATTTCAGGGACAACATCAATGTAATGCATTTCATTGTGCTTTGGTTCAGCACTACAAGTTTGCAGCTCAGTCAATAGCATATTTGATACTAATGTCTAAGTTCACAACAGAAAGACCTGAAGTACCTTTGCACTCTGGTTTGTTTGTTTTTTACCTGCCATCTCTCTTCCTGATGCATGTCCTTTCTGAAACTAAAGTCATACCACCAGCTAACAGAAAATTTCAAAATAACAATGACCCAATCCCCAAGCGAGCCAGCTGGACTCAGCAGGGAAATGTTTGGAGAATGACTTCTCAAAGATAAGGGCAGGTCCCTCAAAGAGGTGATGCAATAACTCCCTGTTCATGATGTGTTCTTCTCCTTAATGTTTCACAGTCTGCACTTGCTATCTTGCTCTGCCCTGAACATGAAGTAATTTTTAGCAAAGAGCAAGCTACAGGAGAGACTAACATGTTCTTGCATGAGCTGTCCGTCATAAACAAAAGTAAGGCTACTCATTAAAATAACATGAGTTTTTCCAACATAACTATACCCCCCTTTATGTAAGAAGGAATGTGCTCCTGGGGGAGGGGGGAAGGGGAGAGGGTGATCAACCAGATATGTGTAAGGAGAATCATATTTTTCCCATTTTCTTCCATTACCATTTCAAAGCTACCTTATCATCACTCTGACTTAGCCATGGGACTCCTCCCTCTATCCTCACACCGGATAAGCAGTTCAATAATAAAAATGTAAATGAACTCAACTGGCTCCACCTTAAAGGAAATGTTACAAATCATTCTATCATTTTTTACTATTTTTAATGTTTTTATTGATTTTAGAGAGAGATAGAAACATTAATGATGAGAGAGAATCATTGATCAGCTGCCTCTTGCACGCCCCCTACTGGGGATTGAAGCCCAAACCCGGCAATGTGCCCTGACGGGGAATCAACCCTGACCTCCTGCTTCATGGATCCACACTCAACTACTGAGCCACACCCACCAGGCCAATTTTTTTTTTTTATGTGGATAATTGTCCTTAACCCTTTTTTAAAGTAGGGTGTGTGCACACGCAGTGGACTGCATAGGGCCACAGGGCATGTAGATGGAGAAATATAAATCATGGTGAATGATGTGGCCTTGACATTGTTCCAGGTTTCCATGCAGAGCTCTTTGGCCACTCTCAGGTGAGAATCCTGTTCTTGCCCTCCTTGGCACCAATTAATCTATGGCACAAGGCACTAATTAACCTATGTCATTGTTATATGAATCGAAAGATTTGTTCCCTGGTGGCTCTCTCTGCACGTCACAAGGATAGGCATTTAATTCAAGACAATAAAAGTTTACCTGCAAGAGATAAACTTTTCAAAAAATCAATACTTGGGTTCATTCACAGCTCTAGGACTAGAATGCCACATACTTTAGTGCCTTCTCTTAAAATATCCCATATGTGGGGTCACAGACAAGCAAAGGGGAAAAACAAACTTGGCCAATTACCTGAGCAAATTTCCATATCTGATCCCAGTATACGAGCATCAAAATAAACTTTAAAACAAATAAACAAATAAAGCTTGGATTTTTAAACTGAATCGTCCACCAAGATCTGAGTTAAGGGAAGTGACAGGCCCAAGGTCATAAAGTCATTGCCAGGGCACCCATACCCACACCCACACACCCCCTAGGAAACACTGCAGCATCAGACCGCTGTTTACATTTGCTGGTTGGGTTAGGATGTGGCATCTGATTGATCTCAGCTGAAGGAAATACAAATTCTTTCTCCTAACGGACACTAAAATAGGTCAGCAGGCATTATTCAAAACAGATCCAGACTCAAATCGGGAGGCACTAGCTGGGTTAAAGGGTTGAATTTTGGAAATAAGTCACTTGATAAAAAAAAAACACACACCTGGGTGACTGGGGGAAATCTAGACTTCGCCTGCCAATCAACAAAACGAAGTGGTGTAAAAAAAGAAGTTTCAGGATGTGTTTATTTTTTAATGAAAAATCTAGGAACAGATCACTGCTACTATTAAAACTCTCACATATCTAAAGCTTCCTTTGTCCGGCAGCCTCTCAGAAGAACCCTACAGACAGCCGGGCAGGTCTTAAGCATCAAGACCGACTCGGATGAATTTTTGGAGCCCTGTTTGCAGTTCTAACCCCACTCGCATCCCCCCAGCACCACCCTCAGAAAGTCCTGAATTGCTTTGCTACACTTTTCCAGGTGCAGCGAATGGGTTCCGGATTCCGAGGGGCTGGGGCGAGGCCTGAGGGGTGGGGGGGGTGGTCCGAG